CAACCTTTTGCTGAGCCTCTGCATCCAGCTGGTCAAACTGTGTCAGTGTTGTTCCAACAGAAATGCTCCCTCTTCCTGCTTTGAACACCGGTTTGCTAGTTTTACTAGAAGGTTGATAGGAGGGCAGGGGCATTTGTTGCCAGCTGTGTTGTAACTTAAGTGATGACATATCTAGGCTGGAAGTGAAGCTCTGCTCAAGAAAGCCAGAACCCATTTCACTCAGCTTTAGTCAAATATTACAGGCAACAGTCAAAGGTGACAACCAACTGCTAGATCTGCACCTCCGCCACTCGGGGGATTACCGGTGTAAGGAGAGGTAAGCGTTGGGAGATCACATCCTCTTATTACAAGCTGTTGGCCTTAATTTTTACTGCAGCAAAGGGAAGGGATGATACTTTCTAAAATTCGGCATGATGTGAGATCTCAGACTGGGAGGGCAAAAAGTAAAACCAAATAGTTTTACGGAATGGTTTACCAGTAGCAACAGGAAAGTAACATCGAGATCTATCCGTGGTTAATGTGCTGTAGCAAGCTTTCGGTGTGTTATCTTTGCTCTTTGTGCTATAATTCCTTCCTTCACAAAGGCAGTAGAAAGCTCATTAACTCACAACACTTAATGAGCCAGCCAGACCATGCAAACAAAACGTTCAGTTTAGGACAATCTTAGATCAGTATGGAGACAGCGCAGCGTTCCCTGTTCTGAGGCGTGATGCATCCTTATAAAAACTTACAACGAGCAAATTAAATCCTCTCAAAATCAAGTGCCCATTTTTATCCTACATTACAGGACACACTACCCTTTCTATTCTCTTATATTCAGGCATTTAGAAACATCCAGTTTTGCCTACAGCCTGTGAAGATATAAACCAGATTTTATTCACAGTCTTCCCTCCCACCTATGAACCCATATATTGTTAGTATGTCAACACAGAATTTTGGTGATGCAAATTCAGGCTTCTGCTGCATATCACTCCCGTTGCCAGAACTAACATGTGTTAATGAGAGCAGAACAAGCATCAACCTTGCCACTGTGGACACTCACTAAGACAACTCTGTTGTTTTCAACATCCAGTTACACAAAACCTGTGCTATGACAAAACAAGTGTATATGTATTTGTGGATGCAGATCCTACCCTAGAGTTTAAAGAGATACAAACACAGTTGAGTGTAGCCATATTTTCCAAAGGACTATTTCTGTAAAACTGAAGCAGAATCCACAGAGACTAATAGAGTGTTAATTGAAGAGGTGATCTCAGTAAGGACAGCAGAGATGGCTCTTGACTTTGATAGGAAACAACACAGAGGAGAAATAAATACGTATTATTATTTAAAATAAACTCCTTAGGTATCTTCAGGACACTGTCAGCAGAAAGAAAAAGAAAGCAGCAGCATTTATCCAGGTGCTAACAGTGCTCAAACAGATGCAAATGACAGTTAGTGTACATGTTTCAGAAATAAGTTTTCATGATGAAATGAAAAACAGATTTAATTTTAATGTACCTTTTTAAATTTGCATAAATGGTTTAATCACCTCTGCCACAGTGATTTTGTATTATTGCCTGGAGCTGAAGTTAGATCAGCCATGGAAACCACAGGTGCTCTTCCCAGCATCCAGCAATTACTCCAGGGAGACCATGGCTTCTATGCTTGGGGTCTCATGGAGAGTGTAACATGGTGCAGTGAGGAGAAGGCAGCTGAATTCCTTCCCATCCTCAATTTATTTCAGAGGGGAGAATCGCTTAAGGCATCACTTTATATTCACCTCCATTTTAGAGAATATTCTGGTATTTATTGCAACAGTGTAAAAAAAGTCAGTCTTAGTATGTTTTGGGTCTTTCTATAACCAGCCAGTACAGTACCAGCAGGAGTCAACGCTTGATCACAGACAGTACAGTTGTAACTTTGAAACAGGAAGAAATTCCAAGGCATTGTAAAGCTGCTCAAAATTCTGAAAGTAAATGTATATAATGACGGTGTGTTACAACCTACTGAATAGTTCTGTAGTACTCAGGATTGCTTTACATTTGTATATTTTATATATATGTAATTTAATTCATAATGAGATGCATCTCACCACTGTTAAAAATGTTTATCGCATTTGTTACCTAAGCAAACTGAAAACATAGAGAGATTGAAACAGGATAGTCTGAGTCACAGCAAAAATGGGAAAATCTGGGAAACCTGATCCTACAAAGAGATTACAGAGCTACCACTTAGGGGGAAAATAACCCAAACCAACAGTACTTTTACCTAACACCTCTGAAACATCAAACAGAATACATATTTTATACAGAGATAAATACACATATACATACACACTTTTTAAAATCCACCTATTTATAGACACATATCAATACAAATTCTATTATATATAATAAAATATTATCTATTTCACAGCAGGTAACCATGGTCTCAGTTTTGCATAAAGACATGGAACAGTGCACAAATGCCAACATGTATTTCATGTTACTGGGAAGCTCCATTCCCCTTTCAGCTAAGCAACCACGAAGCCTTGGCTGCTTGAATGGAGAAACCTGAGTACTTCAACATCAGATCATTTCCCGACTAGTCTAAAAGAAGGCAGTCTGATGAATGTTCAAACTCAGAACCACTATAAATTAAAGACATAAATACATCATTCTTTTCAGCCGCTAAATGATCAGTTTCTGGAGAAGCACTTCATAGGATATTTCTACCATCTTTGGAATATAATATCAATATTTTCATATCATTACATGTGAAATTATTACAAAGTAATCTGCATTTAAAGATTTCACTCCTACTAATAATATCTTACAAAATGACAGAGGGCTCCAAAATATGTAATCATGGTCTGTAAAAACTTAAGACAGATAATACCTTAGTTGATTAAAAACAATTAAATCAGTAAGCATTTGATGTTGCATAGCAGTTTATTTCCAGGTGACTGCCTTGCTGTAGGAAGATCTTAAGGGTGAAAGTCAGAGTTCAATAACTCCATATGAAGCTTGTATTTTGTCACTCATCCTCACACCAGTATGTCTCAACAGGAAGTCACAGTCAGCACGACATATGGATCCAGTCTGAGCAGGCTGCTAATCCTCAAGAGTTGCAAGACTATTTATGCTGCCCATCAAGACAGACATTTGAGCTACACTGTACAGTCTTCCCTTGACTTCTCAAAGGAAAGCATTAAACGGTTTGTGTCCCAAACAATCCAAACTGCCTTGACTTGGCTTTTATTAGTTTTATTTTTTTTTATTTTTTTTCCACAGAAAAAAAAAGTTTGTTACAAGAGAAAAATACTTACTGTGTATACATCATTTCCATAAAAAACTGTCCAAGACAACAAACAGGACAAAAGGAATTGGATTCCTTAGATTTGTTATGAAATAGCTGCACGTAGGTAAGTCCATATGCCATACATGCTACTGCTAAACATCACTGTTAACAAGTAAAGCACCACCAATAATTCTTCTGCGTTACTGAAGTAACAAAGTTTGAAACTTTGAAAGGCATTAAACACCCACCTATTGTCCCATTACATAAATAGGTAACCTTAAACATCACTGAAAGGCAGAACTACATACATCTAACTGCGCTGAAATCAAAACCATTGCCAGATTAATTATATATTTAAACATATCGCTGAGGTACAAAACAATCCAGAAGACCTTTAGGCATCATTAGCTCTGCATTTGGCATAGTTGGAGTGCGGCAACATAATCGTGGTGGTTTTTTTTAGCTGTAGTGATGAAGTAGAAAAAAATTATTAAAATAACACATGCTGCATGTCTTACAATTCCCACCTTTTTTCCCCCCCTAGAGTTAGTTTTTAGAAAGAGTGACTAAAGGCATGATTACACAGATTTATGCTGAGGTATTATTTGGCATGAAATATTGCTTGTGTTGGAACAAACTCAGCTTTTCTTTCATCTTGAACACCACAGTACTCCAGAGTCCACCCACCCAACAGTATTGAGGAGACTTAGAGATTCAACAACCATTAGTGGTGACAGAAGTTACTCGTTCCATCTCCAAAACACAACAGTAGAACAGACACCTCTACATGCAAACACGTCATGTGCACGCATGCCCTCGCATTCACACACACAGCCTGCACCTTCTCCTGCTGGAGTTTTGGTTGAAGGACAGGTTATATGAAGTCAACAGCCATAATTAAGAAGCATTTCAGTGACACCTTATAAACCCTGCAACCTGATGTCACAGCTCTTTTTCATGTGAACTGCAAGGGAGAGCTCACGAGGATCACAAGTACATTTGCAGATGACTTGGTGAAAATAAGGTGGTAAGAACAAGACCTCTTCCCTAACCTTTATCTTTCAGTAAATAGTAATGCCACCAGCACAAATACTTTGAAGAATTTTCAATGCCTGTTAAACCTTTTGGTGCTCTTTCTTCTATATTTGTTTATCTTCTCGTGATTTTCCCCCCCTCACCCACCATGGAAATTGTATTTAAGATTGTGTTGTATCAAAGTGTATTTCCATTGCCTTTGAAAGAAATAAAACCAGTGGCTTTTAAAATATGAATAGAAGTTTATGCTCAGAAATGCCCTTCTGTAGTCTCAAACATCTCCTGTCAAATCTATCAACTGAGTTCAAGTATGTGGTAATTCAGGAAGTGAAAGAGCAGTTTTTAAAGATTAAGACAAAACTGTACTAAACTGTTAGTTTAGCCATGGCTTGATTGAACTTTAACAAGTCTAAGGGTAACAGGTGAGTGCCTGAAGATACTATACCAATTTATTCTTTCAAGGTAGTATTTTTTCATTTACTAAGATCAAGCATATCAGAAATTGGAAATGCAAAGGAGGAAATAAGTCAGCAAAATAGCCACACAAATGGCTATGAAATTCTCATTCTTGCCAGTGAACAGCTGGCACACATCCCAGCTGCACCACTTACTACATGGGCACCCTCATATTAAGACACAACAGAAGCTCTAGAAATCAAGGGGACAGGAAGTAAAAGAGAAATCTTCACAAAAAGAAACACAAATTGAGGTTTTTGTTTGTTTAATAAAAGCTTGCAAGGCACATGTTTCAACTGAATTGCAACATCTACAGCAAAGCAGATTAAAATTTGTAAAACTTTCCCCCAGCCCTTTGAGGAAGTTAAACCTGTGACCTGGTTAAAAACCAAGCTAGGGTTGTGTGTGTACAAATCTGATGTAATTATACCCTACTGTTGTCCTTCTGAGGGATATCATTGTATATCTGAGGGAACTTATTGTTTATTTTTCACAGAAGCTGGAGATTAGACAGTATTTTTGCTAAACCATATCTGGATAAGAAATTATTTCACTTTCTTTGTAAGATATGATTATTTCAGTCACTCATTTTAATGATGCCTTTTTACAGGAACAACCACAATGTTCTCTCACATAAAAGGCTCCTTCTGTTACTTAAGGCTGCTGTGCCAATGGTGCTGCAATACAATTTTCTCTAATATAAAAAAGCAAGGTAAAAATCTTAAATGATTCTCCTAAAGCAGAATCAATTGAAGTATTACGAATACATCTTAAAAACTATGACAACACTAATAACAACAACTATGTCACAGTTCAAATAAAACCCAACACATTCATTTAAACACGTATAAAGGCCAACGTGCTGCAAGATAGCTTTGTTTAGATGTCTGGATGGCCTTGTTTGTGTTTTTCTTAATATGTGTGTTCTACATGTAGGTATTCAAACTATGTTCTATGTGGTAAGACATACATACAGCACTGCAGTAAAACACAACAGGCAGTCAAGGACAGTTAAATATTGCATCTTGGCATGGCAGTCTAAGGCATGAAGCCGTAAGCTTTGCGACTTCATCCACCCAAGTGCAGTTGTAACCCTGAAGTTTGCTACCTGGAATGCCTTATTGCTGTTATGAAAGGATATTCATGAATTATTAACTTCAAGAGAGTAAATGACTGACACACAGACATGTAATTCTTTGACAGTGATTCGAACAAACTTACTTTGCATAAGGAACTTTAAAGTTACTTCCAAATATTACATCTATATCCATACTAGCACATAGAGGGGAGGTTCCTGCAGGCCTGCCTTGGCTCAAGTTAATTCACAAGCTTTTGTTGCTACCTGGTACTTGAAAAGCCTGAAACAGCCCAGTGCAGTAAAACACGTACTTGTGCACAAGCAAATAAATGCAGCCTGCACTTGACCAGACACGCACACACACCCCACCCTCAACACGATGACTGTATGCCCAGAAAGGATATTTACTTTTACCCTGTAACTCAGTTGTACTGGTAAATGTTTCTCTCAATGACCACATCCCATATATTCGATAGATTTATCTCAGCATTAGTTTCAAATAAAATGCATAAGTTAACATTTTGTCAAGACTCATAGGCATAAAAATATAACTGAAAGTAAAAAACAGATTACAGACGTTGACTTTTACAACAATAAAGCTTTTTTCTTTTAAATCACTCCAAAAGTGGTAATAGGTTTAAAAAAATCTCAGCACTACCTGTCAGTGTAAAGTAACGAAGTGTATCTGCATAAAGCAGAGAAGAATCATGCATATACACCAACATGCTGCAGTTCCTAATAATTTCAGAGTTAAGATCTCTGATCTTGCATTTTATCAACAAGTGCAGTAAGGATTGTTTTGCAGCTTTCATTTGCAGATATTTCAGTTGAAAGTTCATCCCATTTTGACAGATCCTTCATTAAAGACATCTGGTCTCCAAAGAATCATTCCCACATACCTGATAGACTGGTCTCTGGGCCAGGTGTTACATGAATCCCTAACTACAGGTAACTCTTAAGGGGTGCACAACTTCTTCCAGAACTTATGTTTTGGTTTTCTGTCCAGCTACACCTACGTTAAGTAAAGCTATCATTATCTTTTATTGGATTTTCCACTCTCAACAGCAGGATTAGACCCACAGTTCGAATTAAAGTATAAAAGTATAATTCATTCTCTTGAAAGTCTATCAGCCAACAGCAGACAGGATGATAAGAAAAATAGTTGTAGAGGCAAAGGGGACCATATAACAAAGATAGATTTTAGAGGGAAGCAAAACTGCAGAGTACTTTCCCAGATTTTCAAAGATCTCTGTGTAATTGCATAATTGATATAAAAATAACTATGAGCAATTGTACCACTATTTACTAATGGTGGTGATTATAGTGTTTCAAATGACAGTTATGGCACTATTTTATTATACCTATCTCATAATAAATTGAATGAAATGAGCATGACCCATCCCTCCCCATACACACACACACACACACACACACACACAAAGAGGGAGTGAAACCGAAGTGCAGAAGTCTCAGTAGCAAACCTAATTGTGCTGCTACACTTGCCTGAAAACAAGCACACTGTGGTATATACTGGCCCATTGTGCTGGCTGCTAAGACACACACATGCACACACACATGCACGTACTTAAGCGTGGAAGAATCCTGAAGACAAGTTCTTTCCAAACTGAAGATCTGACCCTGTCAGCTCCTACTGCGAGGTCTAAGCCCCAGCACTTCCACCAGCATGTCTCTAACAGCACAGAGATCAGTGCCTTAATCTATGGAAGCGTTGTTTAAATAAAATCTTCCTTATTTGACTTAAACAAACAGTATAGCTACACATAAGATGTATGTGAACATATAGCTACACATAAGATGTGTGTTTGATAAACACAGAAATGTTTACAGTGGAAGACAGGAAGAATTGAAACAACAACAATAAAAAAACCCCAAACTAAACATCCAAACACTTCTTTGAAAAGACTCGAGATACCAGCTGCTTTCTGCCTAAAAAATAAAAGCTACATGACCTAAATGAGCTCTTGAAATAATTTTTCTGCATTCACTGAAGTCTATGGACATCAGCTCTCTAACGCTAAAGTTAGAAATCTCATTTACATTAAAATTAAGATGATTTAAAATGGGAAGAAAAATGTAAAAAACATGGAAGACTGTCACACGTTGTATAGACTGTAAAATTGATAAATGTTCCCATTTCCTTCAAGGATGGTATCTCTGTTGATCTGTAGTTCCAAAGAATTCCAGTTTGGTAAAATAAAGTTGTCAGTATCCTGCATGTGTGCACATATATCTGAAAAAATAACTTCCTTGATCCAAAGGAACTTTTTCAACTGAAATTCATTCAGAATAAATCCTCAGAAGGAAGCTTGCATGCTTTTTCATGACTGGAAGGATATCACAGTGTTGATTCTATATACAAAGTAGGATCTATTCCAGTATACTCGAGTAAAATAATTCACATATGGAGAATAGTTCATTTTGATTTCATGACAAAATCGTCCATATTTTGAGTAGGCATAGTTGTCGTCTTCCTCACAAACCACCTGTCAGAAAGAAGGAGACCTAAAGGTGAGTGGTTACAGAATGTAATTCTCTACATTTAATTTATTTGGTATTCTGTAAATTTCACTTATGATAGACATTTAATTTCCATACTGTACGGTTCTTATAAGTAGAAAACAAATTCCCCTCTAATTTATTTAACCACCTAAAATAGCCTTTGTGAATTAACCCCTTTGCCAGGATATCAGACATTAAAACCAGTGTACTTCATTCATATAATAAAGAACAACACAGTGGAAATCACCCCCACACCCTGTTTATCCAGTAGTTCAAGCCTGACCTGCACAGAGCACACCAGTAATGAAAGGAAGTCTCAATTACCTTTTCCGTGCCAAGTAAGTTTGACACACCTAATAAAGGCGAAAGACACACACACTTAGAGCCCTACAGATTCCAACCAGTTGACTTGGATGCAAACTGCTTGTGTGCTTGAGCATCTACTGATTGATATTCCTCAATAATCTCTTCATTATTCCTTCTGAAGGCACAAATTTCCATGATGTTCAAAAAAGGTGGTAGGACAAATTCACGAAGAAAAATCCATTGGTGGGTGGCTATAAACATAATTTCCCTGTAATGCTACAGTCCTTGAGCAACAGATTGCTGGGAAATATTTGTCTTTCCCTATGAGTAATCCTATGCTCTCAGTAAGAGTCATAAATAAGATACTGAGCTAGGACTACAGGACATAGTACAAGCTAGAAAGTAATACTGATGTTCTTAAACACATCAGTTTAGAAAACACATCCACAGACCTGTCAACAGTGTAACAGCCTATCTCATCTCACTTACTTTGGGAATAAGTAAATGCTGCAGTCTCCAAATACATATGCACTAGTTTGGAAAGTCTTCATAATCTTTCAGTATGACTTGGACAATTTTTGTTTGCAAGCAAACTGAGAGGTTTTTTTAAAGTTTCCTGAGAAAACACACTATATCAACTTTTGAGAACAAACAATGTCAATTTTCTGAAAAAAACCCAACTTGATTCCTGTTGGCCATTCCACTATTTTTCTACAGCTACCATTTGAGCTTTCAAACCAGTATGGACTCAGCCACGGACAGGAAGTGTAAGTGATGTTCATTAGCAGCCAACCTTTTTCTAAAAATACTGAAAAGTCAGTCTACATTTAAATATATGTACCAGTTGTTTCATTACAGATTTCAGATTACAGAACAGATTTTAACGGAAACTTTTGCCATGAACTTCCTTTTTTCACCTTCTTAATCTCTCCACTATAAATAGTATAACCCTTGCCACTTTTGACAATTCTAATTACACTGAAATAGTAAATGACTGGTTTTCTGTACTGACAGCACTGTGTGTGGCATTTATCCAAGACAGGCTCCTTGGATTGGATTGAAATTTTTTCCTCCCTTTGACTGAAATCATCATTGCAAGCAACAACTGCTCTGAAAAGTACTGGGAGGTGTTCCTCTGAGTGTTAGGAAATAAAGAAGGAAGAAACTCTTCCTGATACATGAATCAAACAAAACTTCAGAAATCTGATAGTAAAACTGTGCTTTAGGATTATCAGGCTTATGTGCGAGAAAGAAGCATGCTGGAAGCACAGAGAGGAGAGCTGCAGGGGTATGAGGGCATGGAATCCTGAAATTGTGGTTAATTGCTCCAGAGGACATTTTAAGTGTGAAGAGGGAACAGGAACTTACTCATGCAAACACAGATCTGAGCAGAAACTGAGAGAGGTGTATTGATTATGAATGATGGAGGTTATTCATACACACACACTCTAGTTATGGTACAATATATTGGATACAACATGGAATAATCACAACATACATGATTTTAGTAGCAAGGCAAGGAAAGAAAAAGAAAAGATTTCAGCAATGGTAAGGAAGTTAACTGAAAAATTGATACAATATCCTTCCTGGACAAACAGGTCAGGAAACCTAAAAGTGAAACTGACACCAGTTGTAGATTCCTGGGGAAAATACAGAGTAATCCCCCAATAACATACCACTCCTATAATAATTCCCTCAAAACAAAGCAGCCACAGGAATGAAATCTTTGCATTACAAGTTCTTTTGAAATGGGTTTAATCAAAAGTAGAACTTATAAAATACTTAACACCGATGAACCACTTATATTCCATTCTTAGGGAAAAAATCTAAGACTATATACAAGAAACGTATGTATCCTCTCCATTAAAAAAAAAAAAAAGGATTCAAACCAAGGATTCACTTGGTATAGTTGATACACACTAAACTGTAGTGTCAAGTGGATGCTTCAGTTCTTTCAGTCAGGAAACCAACTAAATGAAACTAACCTGTGATTGCTTAGAAGTAACTGGTGCCTCTCTCGTGTACACTTGAGAATGAGCAATGAAACTGTGAGTTTAAGGCCTCTCCTGCCTTTATAAAGTCAAATTTTTTGCTGGATTCCCAGGAGGCAGATGAACAAGTGGCAATGAGATTACTTTATAAATCCCATCTCAGTCCCTACTTCAGCAGTAAGAGCAGCACTATCAGCATCCCGAACAGACAGGGCATGGCAATGACTGAAGCAGCATTCATGGCACAGTTTATTCAACCACTTTTTCTACCAGATGTGGTTTAAACTATTTATTGGGGTACTAACCTATCTACAAAGCTGAATCAAACAGACTTGTAACGCCATTAGTACCAAACAGGCTGTACTGAACTAAATGGCAGGCTGGCCCTCATCCCAGCCAGTTTTAGAACTGAGTTTATCCATTGAATGATTGGCAGAAAAGCAGCACAGCCAGATACTTGTGTATTAGGAAGGATTAGGGCATTTAAATAATAACACTGGGTAAGATAACAAGTGTAAGAAACAGACAATCCAAAACTTAATTGATCACTTTAAAAATATTTAAGTCATTGTCTACATGTCAACTACAATCAGAAAAACAAGGTCAGCGTTATAAGAAGATTTCTTTAAAATTAATTATTTATGCATTCAAACATTATTTTTTCTCACTGTTACTTACATGACCATTAGCAATATCCAATAGATCTTTAACTCTGCATCCTCTTACAGGTCCCACTTCATTGCAAATTGAATCTTCAATAACCAAAAAATTTGCTTTGTAGGATGTGAGTATCTTATAAATATCCTCTGCTGACCTCTTTGAATAGATCTGATAAATCTATAAATTAAGAAAACATGTTCACGGAATGTAAAAATCAATGACAAATTAAATACTGGGACACACATGCACACACAACGATGGCTTATCTGCAATAACAGATTAGATTTACGCACCCACCGTGTAGATTTTGGTTTTAAAATCTCTAAACTGGTGAGGTAGCGGGCAGCTGAAAATGAGAAGTATTTGTCTCTATTGATGGCAAGTTCTCATCTTACATACTTTGAGTGGCCTGAAAAGTCTTCAGAAATAATATTCTGATGTTTGTTTCTGTCCAGAGTAAAGCACTGATAATTTACTTGATACTCCCTTCTGTGTCTGCTGGACTCCTATGTCCTCCCTCCTTCTAATGCATTTGACTGTTCTTTCATTACGTTTGGATTGAAGAGGTGCCACATTTATGAAATTGGGTACTCACATTCTCGTTTCTTTTCAGAAGATCATCATCGTTGTACAGAGGTAAGCTCGACACCATCCATCCAGTGCAGAGCTTAATCACACCCATGAGCTGTGGGCTGCCTGCAAACACTGCAGCCACGGGAGCCTGTCGTCTGCAAAAGTAACACCAACACACACGTCTGAGTACAGGATGCACCTCTCAAAATTTCTTAATTTTATACCCTGTGGGATCTTGCAAGGTGCTGTGGGATGAACTGGAGCACATGAAGGTTTGATTGGGGGTCTAATTACAGTTGGTGTTAATGTTGCAGTAGCAGTAGTTTCCTTGCCAGGAAAAGCTCAGAACTGCAGCAATGTGGAGTTTGAAAGGAAGGGCTTCTGCTGGGGCAAGGACTGATGGTTGTTCTCTCCTCCTTACAATCCAAGAAGCATCATTCAGAGTGGTCCTGGAATGGATCCAAGTACTGCTTTTCTGAATGGTTGCCAACTTGTGACAAAACAAGCTTGTGAGGGGGGTAGACAGAGGGAGAAATAACACGATACTATTCTGTGTGGGAAAGATTTCTGATTATTTTTATTTGATGTCTAGAACATGCATTTCATAGTCTATGAGAAAATAATGTTATCATACAGAACAATGTCTACACTAATTAACTATGTTTCTGGCTTTGGTTTCATTTTTTGAGTATTTTTATTCCTGTATTAGTGAGAGAAAACAGTCATTGCCATACTTTATTACAGACTTTTGGCAACTTCTCTTGCAGGGAAGATTCAAAGTAAATTCATATCATTAAAGAGAAAATTTTAAGAAAACATACTGTTGTAATGACATTGAATTAAAATTCCCCTATGGATAGCTGAGTATATCTTTAAGGAAAAAAAATCCTTTCTTTTCTTTAAAAATATGGACAGCTGCTACAAATAAGAGTAGTAAAATTGCTCTTAACTGAGTGAATCTCAATGCAATTGCCATGATTAATTATGTACTTCAAGACTAATATATGGAGGCTAACATAAAAGCCATTAGGCACTTGGCATTATTCCACTTGCTGCCTTGAGGAACTACAACAGTGACAAACAACATTTACTTCCAGGAACAGCAAGAAGAAATTGGCTGGAACACTGTAATTACCAGTCTTGCCTTTTCTGAAGATGAACAGGTTGACATTAAAGACTACATAAATACAGAAAGTAATATTCTAAGAAAATCCAGTTAAAGGTAAGTTATCTGAACACAAGGGATTTAATTTTCAGAGAAGTACAGTTCCTAATTACATAGTACAAAGTTAGATTGAATGAGGCCAGAATGCATTTCTGAATCTTTGGGTGAGAAGAAAAACACATCTGTGAAAATGACTTGGTATTAGCTATGTATTTGCTCAGTATAAACTACATAACATAGCTCAGCTGTGCCCTGCCTAGCCAGACCAGTGAGAACCCTTCCAGCATCCAGGTCACAGGGAAGTCTGAATCACACATGATCCTCTCCACATATCTTGACAAAGTCTCTAAACCTTCACCTTCAGGCATTTCATTTGACTGGCTCATGCACGTAAAAGTTTAGTGTTTCTGTCCCTCACTGGTGTTACAATCAACACGAATCCTCTAATCTCACGAAAAGTTAGCATGCAGAGAACCAAGCACTAAGATTTCCACCTTTATTTGGAAACTAGGTCTCACAATGATATTAAATATGATTTGCTTGCGTGTTTCAGGATCTTCTCTTGTAATCAATGATACTCCTGTTTCTTTTCATAGGAAATAATACCAAACTTAAAATACACATTTCTCCTCCCATGGAGATTGACACTCCATGTCAGGTAGCTCCACAAACTGCTGAGATAAAAATACCCTGACAAAAAGCAGTAAACCAGAAATGTAGGACTTCATGCTTACTTTATCCATGTCATAAGTTCTACTGTATCAGGATCATAGAATTCTTGCAGTTCTGTAAGCTCTGTCATAATCCTAGGGAAAAACTGATAGAAATGTTTTGGTTACTTACAGTATCTACAGTATCTACAGAGCACCTCATTATATTAAGCCTTAAGTGACACAACAAAAATGGGCTTCAACTGACTTTTCCCACCTGACCGGTACTTTTATTTGAATATTTTGCAAAACATAGTTTATACTTACATGACAGCAGGAGACCCTCTCCAAAATAAAATATGTTAAACACAAGTTCTCATCTCTTTTATTAGAATACTTATAATTAAAAAATAAACAAATAATAAACACACAGCAACAACATTCATCAATGTTAAGTGGCCTTAAATGCATCAAAACCATAGCTCACGTTATCACATGCAAATGTATATAAACAACGGCACTGAACCAAGAAGATGATAAATTTCTCATGGTAAACCTCCTTGAGCAGGAGGGGTTGGACTGTTGTGAGTTGATGGAAAGGTATTATTCAAGCAGGACAGGACAGGAGAAATTTCCTAGAAGGGCCTTGGTAATCTGCCCTGGACTTCCTTCTGACTTCAATCACAGCAGTGAAGAAAATTACAGTATATTGTAGGAATTAGGATATCTCTCAGTTTATGCTCTTGAAAAACATTTTGGGAAAAGCAGGAATTCTGTGAAGTGAGGTAGAATGACATCTGTTTTGAACCAGATCAGATCCCAACACTGCACCACGGCTTCCCTATCCTGTCAGGTTTGAGGGATAAAGGAACAACAGGTCCTTTATTAAGGTAGGTGATTTTGTCAATCCTTGAGCCATTTATCCGAGAAAGGCATGGCTGGAAGCTGTCTAGCCATGAGGGGCTGGAGCATGTACATGTACATGCTGGTGTAAATGCTAAGTGAAAACTACCTTATGTCAGCCCTTTTGGAGAATATAGATAAAGTTCTGTCGTGGTTTACAGGTTATGCCAGACCAAAGGGACAACTTACTCCAAGCCACAGTGGACAGTTAGAAGAGGAAGCCTGCTTTTAACTGAGGCATTCCCACCCCCATTACCTGGACAACTCAGCTGTCAAGTGATAGCAGTCTACAGCCAGACATGTTAGGGTTGCACAAGAACAGCTGCCACATGTTGTGTCAGGGCTGAAAGCTGTAGCACTGCTGTTATACACACACCTGAACTATTCCCAGAACAGATGGACAAAAAGAGGAAGTGGGGTGGCAGTAGCAGTTCCTCTCAGCCCCACTTCCTCAGTCCCACTTCACTCAGCAATCACAGCCTTGGAAGAACCTGGTTAGATGAGGGACTATGCCAGAAGGAGTCAGAAGGCAGCCAAGCAGAAAGATGCTGAGCTGTACACTCAGCTGTACACACATAGCCACAGTAACAGATTAGGGGTCTAAAGGCATTTGCACTGTTCTGTTATACTATCAAAGTTTGTAAGCTAAGGGATGAGTTATGAAAATCTGGACAGCAAACTGTTCACAACTACTTAAAAGTACAAACTGGATCTGCAATGGTTGAAGCCCTCTAGAGTCCAAACCCCTGCACTGCTTTCATTAAAAAAATCTGAAAAAGTTATTTGGTCAACTAAACTGGATTCCTCTGTTGCAATAAATTTCGTAACTCTATTGAGCAACTAAAGTATTTTTAAGGAGAATATCTATTGCTCCATCAAAAATGTGTAAAAAGTCAGATTCCATTGCAACGAAATTTTCTATTATTAGATAGATGTTACAAAGCCTGTTCAAATACTATTGGCCAAGACTGGCTTCTATATTTGAATTCTTATAAAACTATTCAAACTAACTATTTTGAAGCTATGCCAGTATAGCAGAGGGTTACACTTTATGGAATGTTTCCCATGTTTTTTGCACTCACAGAAATTAAAAAAATAATTTCCAAACACTTTCCTCTCAGTCCATCTGTGACTTGCAATAAAGAACTAAGTATTTATTTTAAATGTGGAAACATCCATAAATTTTCTTTCCTGTATTGTTGTATATACACACACCTCTACACAGTGCTCTGCACAAAGGATTTAACTCCATTATAATTTGATGGGAACTTTTCAAACTGATTATTTACATATGGCCTCTCATAATTTATTTCATCTAAACTCACTCCCTCTCACTAAAACCAAGATTGGGGCAACACATTTTTCAATATCCTAAGATTTTATTTGGCAGTATTTTATTTGTTGAGTCAGTTTATGTATTCAAGGCATAATAGCTGAATATAATAAAGTCTTCATTTAAATTTAAAAACTTATTTCTTACAATAGGTAATAATTAACAAATTAAATTGTCAAATACCTCATACCAGAAAAAGTAAAGTTCTCTTTAAAACCAAAACATATTTTCACTGGATGACAACTTCAATTTCATCATATATATTTCACTTCACTAAGTATATTTTATTATATTTTCTCGTTACTTTGACTCATATTGTGTTTACATACAAAAAACCTTCCAAAACTTTACAAAGCTACTTTTCTTACCTCTTTCCACAAGCTGAATCCAATTATTGTGGGAACTGCCATACTCAGAATAAGAGCCTAGAAAGTACATGTTAGAAGAAATGGATTATGCACCGTTCTCCAACCTTAATGTGTCTGTTGATTCTACTCATATAGTAAGCAACATTTATGCCTGAAACCTTAGAGTGATAGTAGGTGAAACTTTGTGGGGTTTTCCCAAGCATAAAACTCTCTGTAAAGAAGAATTTACCTAATTTAGGACAGAAGAATTAATTTGACCATGATAACTTTACCATCAATTTTAGGGATGGTAAATAAAAATGATGTGGGGAACAGAAGAAAAGTAAACACCTCACATTCAAATACAATGAGAAAATCTGAGACAGGAAAAAACCCAAGCATTTCAAACTTCTGCTCTTGTTGATGTTTTTGTTCAGATTGACAATATTGATATGCAAAACCCAGAAACCCATTTTTCAGCACCATCATTCTAGCTGATATGATTTTTGCTTTGAAAAAAGGTGAAAATAGCTTGTATGGTACAGGAAACATTCGTTAAGGAATACACAGAAGGCATTCCCCTGACAATAGGCTACTAACACACGTACTGTGTTAACAGTAAAAAAGCAGGTCTATATAGCAGAATGCATGAGGTACACAGAAGAATGTGCTTACCATGTACATGAACATATTGGCACTCCTTGAGTGAAAGAACACTGTCAATGTTTCTGATATAACAGTGTACGGCACTCTCACAAGTGACATCGCAAACCTCTAAGCATAATACATTTATTCCTATAATCTTCTTGAATTTAAGGTAAGTAATATCCTATCCTTATTTTATTAATAAAGCTAATGCACAAAGCTACTAAAAATCACACGACTCTTGTCATATTGAGAATAAAGCTAGGGTTGGAAGTGGGGGAGATGTTTGCCCTGTAACACAAGCTCATCTTCAGTCACACCATTTCTCTACAATGGCCACACGTAAACAAATCTTATGCAAAGTAATTCCACTTACCACTTCTTATGAAGCAGTTTTACTCTCAGCAAGTAAATACACCTTAATACCACATCTTTAAATTCATTTCTTAGCGAAACAAGGCTTACATCAATGCTTCCCTGCACACTTGTACTTTTTCTCCTGCATTCCTCCTAAAAAGCACAAGACCTTCTTGGCCAATCTCAGCTAGATATGACAGAGAGACTGAAGTCTCCAAGATTCGTTAAAAGAAATTAAAGACATGAGTGAAAGGAAGATGAAGACAGCTCTGCTTCTTGTGAGGAAAGGTTGCAGTGTGAATGCAACTTTATCACCAGATACCAGACAACATGTGCAAGAGTCATATTAAGAATGAAAGAAGAAAAAGCAGACTATATGAGATCCACTGCTCACAGAACAACCTATTCTTTTCGTGGGCTCTTCTACAGGTCTTAGTTAATTGTCTGCAAAGTTATATGCTGGGTAGTTGTATTTCCCAAGACACTGGCAACAGCAACTCACCAGCAGTATCGGGTGCACAGCTTTCAGTCGAAGCCACTTGAAAAGTGTCATCCAAAGTTCAGGAGAACACACCCCAAATGCAGCAAGCATGCAAACATAAGGTGTCCATAGATATTTCATTCTGAAAAACACTGCAATAACTTAGTTGGGACTCTGTGCATGCCTCTGCACTCAAGCTATTTATAAAAAACATTTAGATGTCAAATACAGTCTGGATGTTCAAGCAATCTGAGGTCAACTCTGATGGCACTGAAGGGTAAAAAACCGAAATGTCTAGCAGAAGAGCAGGCACCTGATTATCTGCTGTGAGATGGAGAAGCAAGATCCAAGGTAAAAGATGACAAAATCCTTCACAGAGTTCAGGGGAGGTTGAAAGAAAAACAAAAGGAATAGTAAAGTCACTTGGCTGTTGTGGATTTCCAGCCAAGAAGGGACAAAAGGCAGCTATTCAGCAAAGCTGTACAGACAATGTACTATAAGAGTTCCTGAAGAAAGGAAAATATTTAATAAACAATTTACGATTTGCTGGTGTTGTCTACCTCATAACGGTAGACTAGTCAGCTCAACTACACGATAACACAACAGTCTGCTCACTTTAAGAATTTGTGAGTATTTAGATTTTAGGATGATGAGCATAATACAAACACAAGACACCTTCAAGCTGATTAAGCTGAGAGACAGGATTAGAACAATAAGGTCTTCCAAACATCAGCTTCTATAGCTTTAAGAATTAACACAATACTTTTGAAATTAGTTTTTCTACTACTTTATCATGTCAAGCAAAGGTATACTTTGTGGTACCCACAAGAAGACGGATAAGAAATCTTCCACATGCCAGCATTCCAGAACTACTCTGTTCATCAAAACACTACACAAGATCTTACTAGACTACAATATTAAAAATAATTATAGCAAAGTTCTACACTTAAGTACCATAAAGAAAGTTATTAAAATGTAATTATATTTAAGTCTTTGATTTTGGCTGCATTAAAGCTTGGAAAACATGTTAAATAGACTAAGAACAATTGTATGGAATTTATAATCACAATTACCATTGACTGCTCCTCTACTAACTAGTACCACTACATGCCAAAATTATTTCTGAAAAGAGGTAGATTTCAAAGGGGTGAACGGTGTACCATGTCCAGCTAGGAACTCTCTGTTGCTTTCAAAAGAGATACATCAAAATTAGACTTACCCTTCCAAACACATCGCTAGACAACCAAGCAAAATTGTGTGAATGACATGATAAACTATTTCTGGCCTCTCTCCAATACGACCATCCTCAAGTTTAACTGTCTCTTTCAGTGGTTCACCACTGCAGTTGGAGAAAATGAGACATCACTTAATTCAGACATTATCTCAGGCAAAGGTGCCAATAAAAATACATTTAAGTCAGTAGTACACTGAGATCATACTGTGTTGTATCATACAATATAGTTGCACTGTTTACTTGTTTTTTGAACTCAATCAATGATCTATCAGTACCTACTGTCCCTTGTTTTAGATTGCAACCTCTCTGGAGCAATGGATGTAAATTATTACAATGGGATCGCTGTCTATGACCGTAAATCCTATTTTAAGGTAATTCAGCACCAAGAGACAGTCTAATTTAAGAGCATGCAGACCCTGCAAACATTTAGATGAAGCATGCTGAACACACAATTAAAGTTTCTTCGTATCATTAGCTTGGTGGAGAATTATGGAATCTGTAGGATAATCGTGTATGGAATGTGTATACCATTTTATGACAAAGTAAGATAAAAAAAGTAGCTTTGAGTCACATATTCTAAACTCTAGCAATATATTATAATTAAAAATCATAACCAAAATCTTACAGCAAATGTTTTTCTACAAGCAAGATAGTAAGGCACAAGATAGGTAACATTTTTTTTCTACCATATGATTTCAGGTTAGAATTTTATAATAAACTTCCACATGACAAAGTATTTTGAGATTATTAATTGATTTAAAATTTGAAAAAAAAAAACGAAGGGGGAGAAGGTTTATATTAAGTTTTTCTTTAAAAAGGTGTTGGACACAGTGTAGTCACTGCTTATTATAAAGTAGTAAATAGCTATTTCAATCATTAGCAAACAATCAGAAGTTTGCTTCATTGTTTTGAATATACTATCACACATCCAACCTGACATTTTCATTCACAGCAGCATAATTTTTATCTATTAGAAATCTTCATTCTTGAAATAAACCTATTGATTTTTGCTGCAGACAAGTGAACAATTTGTTCTAATACCTGAGCAGTTGCACCATTCATCTTCTACCAGGAAAAGATAATTTCTTAGCCATTGAGTTTCCAAGACAAGCTACACTAGGATCTACAGTTGCTATTCTTAGTCTGTAAACAGACAGCTCCACTACCCCTTCTCTCAAGGGAACTGTGAATGTGAATCACTGTGAAACTAAAAACAATTGAGTCAGCTTTACTTCAGCTCAGTTCTCAACAGCAAAGGCTGATGGACCTTATCACAGTTAGCCAACACTTTAAAAACCAAACAGTGAAGCATTAGAAATCAGAAATCCTCTCAACTCCACCCGTCTCATCCTTCTCAATATGTAAACTTGAAAAAAAAAAAACAAAACCAAAAAACCCAAACCCAAATAAGAAAAAAAATTCTAGCAACAATCAGGTAACTTTGCTGTTGGAAGGATAATACAGATATAACATTTTTCTCTCTGGCAATGGGAAGAGACATAGGTACATCCAAAACAGAGCTCTGCAGGAATTGCACCTATGGGGAAACAAACCATTGACAACTCCCTATCCTGACTGGAGGGATGCTCAAGAATCTCCTCACTAAAGGAGGTTCTGGGAGGCCTTCCCACTGGTGCTCACACCCTGACAAGCTCAATGACAGAACAAAATTTTGGAGCAGCAAACATGATGACCATTCCCCTTACACATCAATGAAACTCTTATTTTTAACTTATTTTTCAGTATAAATAAGTTACTTACCAAATTCTCCTAAAAATGACCTGAGTTACAGAAAAAAGGCAAATAATTAATACTAAAATATAAAAAGGCAACAGTGATGACTGTGTTAGTCGCAAAAAAAAGTCTTGGGAAGGTGCCTGAAGAGATTCTTGACAAAGGAGCCAATTCATTGTAAAATTCCTAGTAAGGCAAAAACATCCCATTAAAGACAATAACAATATCCCATAGATTAGAAAAAAACACAAACACCCAGCACACAACCAACCACAGTTTAACCTACTCATGTCATAGGAAACTATTTTAAATTCATCTTTGAAAAGTTAACTTTTTATCATTTGAAATTGCTTTGCAAGTTATGTTTAGAGTAACTGTCAAAAGCTTATCTCCCCAAAAAGTATCTGTGAAGAGACCAGGCTACAACTCTTTCATAGCACAAAAGCCCAAACTTCCATATGACTCCATTATGGCAACCACAAAGCACTTCTTTGTCACGGTGGATTAAGATTTCAGAGACACTGATGCAAGAAGGTATGTTTGTCCTCATTTCAAACAAGGAGACGAAGAAGGAAAAGTGGTCATCTGAGATCACAAACAAGCCTGAGGCACTGCCAAGAATAGAATCCTTAATGCTGAAATTCTAGTTCTGTAGCTGAACCTACTTGATCATTCTTCTTTCTCAGTTAATGAGCAGGAAGATTATATACTCTGCCAAGAAGCACTATCAGTCATATTCTCAAGTGGAACTGGTGCAGTATGTGGTTCTGTGAATGCATTCTTGTCTTACTTCGTTTCGCTTCTCTCCCTCCTCTTACTTTCCCCCCAGGGAAGACTAGAGGACTGAATCACTTTCAATTAGATGCAATAAATTCAAAGATTAACAGCTGGGTATCTCTGAACCGGCCTTAAAAGACAGATCTTGAAGCTCCTGTGCAGCAAACCATAATTTCAACTCACAGTTACACAGTGTTCTGGGCGTAATTGCATACAGTTTGTCTCTGGCTTCGTTGCAGAGTTTGACAGCTTGAAAAGTGACATGTAGCAAGTCCACAGAGGAAAAAAAAAAAAAAGAAAATCTGTAATACCTGCTAGCTGGATAAACTGAAATCCTGATCAGGAGTGCTTTCTCTTCTTGCAAAACAGTTAAGAATGAGGATGTGTTGTGTGTTAAAAAATGCGTTTTAGCCAACGTCACTACATCTTCCAAAAATTCCCCAACAATTTCAGTTCCGTGTGACATCATTTTTCACTTCTTCCCCTGAAAGGCCGTGAAGCAGTTTTGTAAGAGAGATGTAGCTTCCAGACGAGAGTTCCCACTCCTGCACAGAATTGCAAGTCTTGGCTTGCACCCAGGAGGTGTCTCAGTCCTTACTAATGCTCCACTGGAAGTTTTCCAGAAAATCTGTAGCCGTGAACATCTTCTTGTAGAACAACATTCAACTCTTCTACAGATGCTAACGTGTTTTCTTAGAATCACAATTCCCCCTGACTTTTAAGGTGTCCCTTGTCCTAATTTCTTCCAAAACATACAGGGGGGTTTCGGGAGTACCCCACAACCCAAGCATGTTTGGAGATAGCACTGATAGCTCATGAACTCTTTACAGAGCCTTTTCTTCTCCAGGCTATAAAAAGCTATTACTGCTACCTTTACGCTATTATCTTTGCTTTCAAGTCTAGAAACACTAGACAGGTTACAGAAAGTTTTCACTCTTCAATATCACAAGAGAAATCAATGAAATGCTTTCACCTCAAGGCATGAAAAATAGTGAGGTGTCCTGGAAATCTCAAAATCCTAAGCAAATTCTGTGTATTTTTAAATTCAATATTAAAACTGTTTCCCTAGTTCCTCTGTAAAATTGTCACAAGACATTGAAATGTTGTACTTCTCAGAGCAGTTTCAGAAGTTTGGATATCCCAAAGGTGTAAAGAGTTTAAAAAAACTTACTTAGTTGTGTTTAAGCCAAGTTTTACTTCAATGAACTTCAGCAAATGCTCATTTTCTTTATGAGGAACAAACATCTGAAAATTAATTTAGCAGAGAAAAATCATATGAAATGCTGAAAGCAGCTTTCACATAGTCATTCAGATCATAAAATGTCAGGAAACAATAAACTATTCAAGATTTAGTTAAAACTAACGAAATGGATTAATTGTGACAATTAAGAATCACGGAATCAGTTAGGTTGGAAAAGATCTCTGAGATCATCGAATCCAACCTCTGACTGAACACCACCCTGTCAACTGGACCATGGCACTGAGTGCCACATCCAGTCTTTCCTTAAACAGCTCCAGGGACAGTGACTCCATCGCTTCCCTGGGCAGCCCATTCCAACGTTTAGTCATTCTCTCTGTGAAGAACTTTTTCCTAATGTTCAACATTAACCTCCCCTGGTGCATCTTAAGACTGTGTCCCCTTGTCCTACTGCTGGTTGCCTGGAAGAAGAGACCGATCCCCACTTGGCTAAAATCTCCTCTCAGGTAGTTGTAGAGAGTGATGAGGTCTCCCCTGAGCCTCCTCTTCTCCAGGCTAAACAACCCCAGCTCCCTCAGCCGCTTCTCATAGGACCAGGTACTGGTATAGTATTGTAAATCTTCACTTCAGTAAATCTATCTTTAGGGTTTCCTTCAGAATATTATTCTCTTCATTTCATTCATGTACCCCAATAGGAGGGCAAGTGAAAAGCTGACAATAAGTTGGCCAAAGACTACTGAGCAATGTAAAAAGGATCATGAAAAACAGACACAGACTTACTCCCAAGGAAGCCAAAGAGGGCTGCGCTTGGCTCCACTGCAAAATAGGACTGCAGCTTAGCAAAAGTTATGAGCATTTGTAATTTTCACAGAGATTGTCTGAGCAGCCTAAAGTTCTGCAACTTAACTTGTAATTGTAATTTAAATCATATTTTTCAAGGTTAGGTTTTATTTTCCTGGAGATACAGCAAGGTTAGTCAGTCTGACTGGCCCAAGAAAACAATCATATGTGAGAAGTCTTCCAAACTTTTTAGGGTTCACTGGTTTCTTTACTTTTAAGTCAATACTGTTAATTAACACAACCAAGGTGAGTTTGAAACATAGAGGAAAAGCACAATAAAACATGTAAAACACTAGAGCCAGCAAGAGGGAATTGCTAATCAAAATACAAGACCAGGCTAAAATCCTGTTGTGCAATCTCAACTCCTAGTTGACCCTTATAGAAAGTGAAAGTCTCTGTTCCCATGTTCTACTTGAAATTTAACTGAAAATTAATACCTACTCTGAGACTACTCACACTTGTTCCTGGCTACTGTGCCTCCATGCACAAGAATATTGTTTTAATATTCAGACCAGTTTGTAGGGTCCAACCAAGTTATAACAAAACCCATATATACAAAAAAGATAAAGTGTGATTTAAAGAGTATTTCCATACTATGTTTCAACCCCAAAGACCAAAACCCCAACAAAAGACAGCTGTTTGAGTTGCTAAAGTTTTTATAAAATTACTTCATTTTTACTACTCCTATTTGCTATGAATTAAGCTATGAACTATCATATCAATACAATAAGAAACATTTCAAAAGATTTTTTCAAGATACATCTGCAACTTTCCATTTAGATCCTGACAATTAAAATCATTTTTTACAGAGGAATCTTACCTTTAATAAGAAGTTTAGTGTCACTGCTACTGTAAGTACCAAATAAATGTACATTATTTTCAGCAATCTTGACATAAATGTACCTTTTTTCATATTCATCTGCAAAAATATTTTAAGAATGCTGTGTCATTTGGAGTTCAGTTTAAATTTTCAAACTACACCTAGAGGAGGGTCTAGTTACCTGAAGGCATTTAGAGAGCATTAAAGCTGCTACGAAACTGAGTAGCGGTGACACTAGTAAGGCTGAATTTTCAAACTGCAGAAGGTACCCCAAGAAGAGAGAAAACAGGTAGATTTTGTATACTTCATGCACCTGTTGAAGAAAAGAAATAAACCGAAAGAAATAAACCAAAACTATAGTGGATATAAATCTTGCTTTTGTAGAGCAGTAGCTCGTTACTCCATTAATGAGGGGACTAATGGAGTTGATCCTCCAGCTCGAGTCTACAGGGTACTGCTTGGCTCTGGAAACTATTTCACATCTAAACGATACTGGTCAGCCTCAGTAATAAGTGCACAATTACTTCACAAGAACTCCGTAAAAATGCCCGAAGCAGGAGTATTTTACAATGTCTCCCCACTCTGTAACACCTTGCTGTGATGCAGCATGATGCAGTAACCACAGTGCACCAGTAAGAACACACAATTTGTGTAACAGAGCTGACTACTGCAAACAGGCGCTTTCCTTGCCCTCAAAATAACTTGTTCATTAACCTGTCTCAGGAATACTCAGATTATTACTGATACTTTCTGTTATTTGTTATTTGATAAGCAGATCTTATAAACCCTGTGACTTGATTCTTTAGACTTTTACCAAAACACCCATCTTCTCCCTTATATACCCTGCTTTGAACTTCAACAGATCAAACATTTCCCACTGCTGAGGAACAGGAAAAAAAAAAAGGCAACTGAAAGAAGAGGTGATGAATAAGAATTGCATGCAGCTTGATATCTAATAAAACTAGAAGGCACACATGTACAAAAGAGCATATATACCTGTTGCATTTTATTCTGCAACAGGTAGAATTAAAATGCCTTATTGCTGCAACATTTCCAAGAACTATTTTGCAGAATAAATTCAAATACTGGCCTTCAGCACCTGTCTAGTCTATTTATTGCCTAAATCAGTGCAGGGTGGGCCATTCAGGGTGAAAACAAGCTCTTTAACTCCACAGAGCTAACAGAGCACTTTTTTGGTCTGCCCCACCCTGCCGTGAACAGGTGAAAATAAGGAAGAGGCAGCTAGGCCAAAATGGAGAATCATCCATCACTCTTTTAGCTCCCCAAGGATGTTTCAGGTCTCAGAAGCTTTGTTTAGCTTCTGACCCTTTTGTTAGGAAAGCTGTCCCAAAACAAGTAGTCCAAAAGAGACTCAGTTTAAAGCTATTTTATTCTTCTGATGACATGCACTTCAGCTGGGCCAAGACTGAAAGACACTCATCCCTCAGCCTGTGCCCTCTGGAGTCCTGAGCAGTTTGTATGGCAGGCACGGTGGAGGCTGCGTATAAGTCCCCAACTATCAGGGGGCTGAAAAGTTCCAATACCTTCTCTGTCTGTGCCAGGGCAAAGCTGTCTAGCAGGAAAAGAGAAATAGCCTGGACAAACAGGAGATAATGACTGTATTCCCACATCATCACGAAGGTGTATGTTGAAGCATTCACCAAAAGATAACAAAACTTCTAAGGAAAAAAAGAAAAACAAGGAAAAGCATTAATTTTGTACCTATGCATCTCTGTCACTAAGTAACTGGGAGGTCATTAAAACATCAACTATGGAAATTAATTATTTTATAAAATAATGAAAATACTGACTTTAAATGTATTTAACATATTATCAGTTGGAAGAAATTATTAATGAAACATTCAAAACCATTTAAAGCCAACCAGAAGAAACATCATTGACAGAGAGACAGGCTAATGAAGTAAATCCCATCTTCTCCAAGCAACAGTAAAAGCAACAGAACAGTTTACATAGTGAAAAAAAAATCTGCATCAGTTTATTTTAAAAAGGACAGTACACAGCTCACTACCATCCTGTTCCCTCTGAACCCTCATGGGGGTATAGCAGGGCAGGGCACGAGTCACTCAGCAAAATCTGCACATGCCTAGGTGAAATCCAACTGGCTGTTTTGAAAAGAACAAACAAAACATCTACTGTTTTCCACCTAGAAGGGCAACAGTGGCAGGGATAACTACCCTAGAGCACAGTTCTACCAGCAAGTCTTTGTTAAGAAATTAATTTTTGCTTTACCTCAGCAGAACAATTTAGGTTTTTTTTTAAATAGCCTGTGAGAGCTGCTACTTGACATGCAAAATACGGCAAAGCCCAATTTTCCCTTGATGGTATGGAGTAATCAATTCTTGTTGTATCTGTCCTAGAACAAAGTACAGAGAAACAAAATTATTAAAACAGTTATGGAACAAAAATATCAAGGAAAGCCTGAACGTCACTTCTAGCCATCAGTGTGGCCTTGTAAGCAAACTTTTCCTGGTTTTGGTGTAAAGTAACACTGACACAATTTCACTGCAGATACAGGTCATACATTTAATAACAGCACAGAAGGCCCAACCTTTACTCATCTATTCAGCAGGTCTCCTTATTAGGTAGCATTTATAGGACTGAAACCAAAAAGCATCTGCCTCCAGCCTTTTTTGACCTGCTTCAACACTTCAAGTGGGATGTGTCACACACTGCTTCTGCCAACCTGCACAGGGACACAGGAGGAATGCTAAGTGCTCTTATGTCCCTAGGCAGGGAACCGCTGCCCTGGCAGCAGCTTTTCACATTACGATGAAAATCAGCTCATAGCTGAGAGAAAAGATTCCTTTCAGCTCTCATACAGTATGTTTCAAACAAGTGATTCAGGTGGTTGAGCACAACATTCTTAGAACACAAACTGGTGTTCTCTCATAGCAGCAGCAGCAGCAGATGTTTTGTCTACAGGGAAAATTCTGCCCAGCAAAACAAGAGATTAAAGACGGATGGGGAGCATGCAGGGTTTTCCCATGGAATGACTTGACAGTATCCACATAATTAGAGGTGTAGGTGAAAGTTTTAAAAAGTGCTAAAGTGACTTAGAAGCACAAGTAACAGTTTCAAATGTGATCAAAGGCATCAGCTCCAGAGGTATATAGTCTTCTTTGTGTCTACTATGCCTTTAAAAAGAAGCCTTAAGCTCCTTTATCATTTAGATGTTTGAAAGCATCACCTTTCATTTTTTCCTCTGAAGCCTCTTACAGAGATGTATTTGGAGCTTTCCTAACTACTAGATCTTTTACTTTGTTAACACTGTTTAATCTTCTTTGCTGTTGAAAAAATTACAGATTTATTCACCATTTTCCCTACTTTCCACTGTTTACACCAGCTTAATGAACACTATTCTTAGCTACTAATCACAGATTCGGTCATGATGACTTCACACTCCTTGAAGATGCTTCCCAACAGTTCAACTTTAAAGACTATATCTACAACATTTTGCTCCTACATAGTTCTTTCATTTCAAGTGCTCTCAAGTTCACAGAAAGCTCCAGAACAACTTGGTGACAAACCAGGAGCCTGAACTTAGGTTCTCACTGCCCAAATGAGGCTCCCTATTACTGTGGTGCTTCATAAGGGGAAGGGACATTTTCTTCCAAGTCAATTGTTTTAAAATAAAAAACTCTTGAGATCAAGATCATCTAAGATGATTCCACTTTGCAGAAAAATTCACTACAAAAAATATTTAAAAAATCAAATATTATTTACAAGAAAAAAGCACTTGATCATTTCCTTCTAAGCAACAGGACAACCATCAGAATATTTAGATCTGGCCAGAGAGAGCAATTCTGTTTACAGTTGTTTTAGACATTTGTTTTCGTTCTTCACCAGCACAAAACCAAAACCTTCTGGGGAATGTTTTTTAAAAATGAAAATGTGTGTGCATACTCCTGTATTCACACATACGTAAAGTCAGTTCAACTGGCAGTGTGGATGGTTTGGACAACAGGGGGCCTTTCCATTAATAAAATCATCATGAGAATCAATGAATCTCTTAAAAATGTTTTGTATTCAGCATAAGATCTTGCTCTCCCAGTGAGAACACAAAGCTTAATAGAAAGCATTTCAATCGGCTCTAATATTTTAAAATGCCTTATTGACAAACTAGATTGTATAAAGATGTTTTTCTTACCTGTTAATAATGAACCATGCTACAGTCAGCATTCCTGCCAGCCAAGTCCCACTCATAACCCAACTGGTTACAAACAATGCAGTCACATAAATTCCCTGCAGTCCAAAAACTATACCAATGTAGAAATACACTGGTTCAATAACTTCCTGAAATTACAAATAAAAACGAAGAGACATAGTGGCAACTGTGCTGAAGCTGGAAATTATTACTATTTACTATTTGTTACTGCTAACAGTGTGCTAGGTGCTTTACAAACAGGTAAGAGACGTCTCCTATTCTAGAAAAGTATTGGGCATGCTTTTATTTGGGGCTCAGGAAGAACAAAGCAGTGTGAAATAAGCGCACACTTCGGGACTCAGCTTGCTACTTAGCCATGAGTTTTGTATTTGCTTTAGCATAAACATTGTAGGTGTCAGATTTAATAAATCTATACTGCAGTGGGATATAAAGTTCACAGGACTACTAGAAGAAGTTATGTGGGGGAGGAACTTGGAGAAGTAAAGATATGGCAGAAATGGTTCAAAAATAAATAAATAATAAAAAAAGAAAGATAAATGAGGGAGGACACAAGTATGCAGCACAAGCAGAACAAAGCCCGAGCAAAGCAGAAATTGACAAAAGGTTTATCTACAGAAGTGGTTTTCCCTAGGAGAATGGGCAGACAGGTACCACTATGACAGACTTCTGTACTCCAAAGGAGCTAACTTTCCTGTTTTTAATGGATAGCACAGACATTCCCCACATTTCTAAGCAGTCTGTAGAAGCAAAGAATAACAGTTAAGTTTAGTGCATACAAACCCCCAAAATCCTATGCCAGAGACTGATCAGAACTGAAGAGAACTTGGACCTAGTGAGAGGCTTAGCTCAGCTCATTCAACAAAAAATGCACGTGTTCATTGTATACAGCACAGAAAGTCTCTCTCACACACAGACACAACCATAATGAAAGCACAGAAAGTAGGAGAAATGCACATACTTCGCTACCAGATGCTTGATATAAAACACTGGCAATCAGCTCTGGGTACAAAGTCATTTGCTGGACTGCATTTATTGTCTTCAGTGATACTGTTTTATTGTTGTGTGTCAAGTCATAAACACCTAGAGACAAAAAAAATATTATTCTTAGAATCACTTACTATTGCTGTTCTTAAAAAAGGTCAAAGTGTATTCAAAGGTGAGGGGGAACAGATTTGATGATTAAAGCTACTGGCTGAGTCACCACACCTAATTTTAAAGGAAGAAGAAATTTCTGTGTCAGATGCCAGTCCACCCTACTGATCTAGCAACCATCTGAAGCACTGCCTTTCAGTAATGTACTGATGCAGTCCTGGAACTACCTACTTAGAGATCACCTTCACAGGAGGTTCTTAAGATGTGAGACAGATCTAACAGGAATGAGCAGGATGTATTAAACCTGTCTCCAGAAGGAGGTCAGGTATGACGGCCTCAGCCATCATCCCTTTCAGTCCCCATTTCTGACGCTTCTAAGAATCATTTACTGAACACAATATGTCTTTCTGTGGGGTTGAGATGAAATTGAAGCTGGCATACTTGAAGGATGCATCATTCCAAAATGTTATATTTAAAGAAAAGACTTGTCAATACTTAGGACAATAGAGGAAATATGAAAAACAATCCAAATTGCAGTGTGGGGGAGAACAAAAGCCTCAAAACTAATGCAACAGCCAAACCAGACAACTGTTTCCATCTCTGAGCATATCTTAGTGTGTGGTCTGCAGTTGGTTCTCTGTAGGCCAAACCAGGTCTTGCAGGGACTTATAACTGAGTGAGATAGGGCTGTTCACTTACTCTTCTCTCCTGAGTTCTTGCCTTTTCCCCATGTCAGCCCAGGTGCACTTCTGAACTCACCAAGCTAGAAAGTGTTCCTCCTTTTCACTGCGTTAGTTTTCTGATTGTTTAGGGACCTGGGGTCAGTGAGCTCCAGAGCCAGTGCAGGATAAAGAGCAGGAGCACAAAGGAAGGAGAGATCAGTGCCACCTGGTCTGTTCTCCTTCCTGTCCCCTCACTCAGTCCTCATCAGCATCTATTCATCATAGCTGACAAGAGTAAAAACTACTGGCAGGGACAGGATGGACCAGACCAGCTCATGACAGAAACAGTTCTATCTTCTGACAGAGCATGGAAAACAGTACTTTTCACTCCCCATTCCAAAACTCAACATAAATTAAGTCTGCATGGCAGAAAATCCACCATGTAGCATGGAAAAACGCAGTGATAACTTTGATACAGGGCAATATGAGAACAACATTAACCCTGTGCTAAAGCACTGATGGAAGGCAATCTGCTGGAATACAGGATGTTAAATACTGTTTTTTAAAAGGCACTGAAAAGTTAGGACAGCACATAGCTTTTAATTAATCTGATTGATACACCTATATAAAATCAGTCCCCCCAGCCTGCAGGAGTTTTATACTGTCTCCAAAAGGAACAGACTTTTCAAAGTTAATAAAACAAATTAGTTTTGTACCTCTTTCAAAGGAAGGAGCCTTTAGCAGTTCTTTATAGAATGAATAATAAATGGCACTGTCACCCTGAAATGTAATTTCTCGTTCAAGTTCCTAGAAAAAAAAAATATATTCACCTCCTGGAATCTCTTCCTAGAGAAGACTATATATTTTCAGACAGACTGGTTTTGTAATACAGCACGTGGTTATGACTCGACTGTACGTCTTCAAAGTACTCCACAAAACATTAATCTTCATAGCACTTCTGACAGGTATATAATGCTCTCTATAACTTAGCAAACATGCTTGGAATCAGAGCAACTCAAATCCACATTGTAAGTCAGCACTAAATCCACACAAACCTTTCATATTCAAAAACCGGATTTTCATTCAACTTTCCATACTTCACTAAACAACACAGTTCTTAAAAAAGACAACCCCCAAAAAACAACAACCTCCCCCAAATGAAAAAACAAACACCAAAAAAAATGTAAACCAACAACCAAAAAAAAAGCAAACCAAAAAGCCCAACACATATTCCTATTGCTTAGCTCTTGCAATCCCAGTATGCTTCAGTTATTTCTCCAAATTTTAGAAAGATATTTCAATGATAAATACTGGCATGGAAAAATGTAAAAAGCATGACAAGCCAAAACTAATGTTACCAGGAGAAACACTTCAACAAAAAAAAGAAAGAAAGACGACAACAACAACAACAAAGGGAAAAAAAAAAAAAAGAAACTATATCAAAGACAGGCTTTACTAGAAGGACATGGGATTCTGCAAGCAAATAGTTCCAACCTGACAGGGATCAGCTTTGATTTCAAGCACACAATTTGGCTTTTGTTTCAGTAGTTTAACTTTATCTTTACCTGCCTGCTGGAAAACCAGAACTTCCGTTCGTGATATGTTGAGAGGTACACAGCATACATCATTCCACTGGTCACTGCTGCCAGGCAGCCAAAGAAAAGTTTTGCGAAACGCTGGATTAACATATCTGAAAAGGGACAGTGAGAAAGCTGAAATAGTCCAGAGGATTTAGAAACAAACAGCATGTCCTACACGTGACTCTCATTTCTGAAAAGCAACTGAACTTACTGGAATCAGAATTAACACACCCATCAGCAGCTCAGATACATGGAAAAAACTGCTATGTTATTTTTGTCCTGCAGAGCTTTCTTTCCCAGTTGTTACCATTGCTTCACAGGACCCTCAGATAAAATACTCACATACTACACTGCAAATTTTCTCTCCATTTTAGTAAGCTTTGTTTTCAAATGAATTCCAAGAAGAGAAAGCGTCTTCCAAATAAACAGAGCAAACTCTAGATTCTACCCAAAACACCACAACCTTCTTAAAGACATTAAGAGACAGGTGGCAATACCATATCTAACCATTCCCAAGACATTCAATTTTCCATTCTGTTTTTAAATATAAGAAGGAACTAATCTGAATTTTACCAAACTCACTCAATGGGTACCTACTTCACCTGTAGTTCCCTTTTAACATATAAGTTTTTGGTAGTTTGGTAAGCACTTGCCTAAAATTATACTTTTAGTTCTGTTTCTTGAAAAGCTGTAAGTACTTTTTGTCTTGTTTCAGTACCATTACTTCATGCCTCTCAGCTTCCCAACCAAAAGATCATTCCAGGAGCAATAAAAATATTTATTTGTATTCAAATAGTAGCAACAGTAACATTGTTAACTCCTCTCCTTCTCCCCCCGGCCTCCAGCCTGAAACAGTCCAGGACTACCATTTCACTCCACAATACCTACAATGTCATTCTTAAAGAATTCTAATGTGCATGCCTGTTTTCTCTTGAAACATTCAAAAACCTAATTCAAAATAAGTCTGTTATAAATTACTGTGCTACAAATATCTTCCCATAAAATGTAAATGAGTAACGAAAAAAAAAATCAGAAGTCTGTTAAAAATTCTGTAGCTTACATTTTGGCGATCTTCCCAGCTTTGAGTTTTCTTTGTTTCTCTGCTCTGGAGCCATTTTGTCAGATTCTGAGCAGTTTTGTTTCTTTCTCTGTCGCAGGTCTGCTGCCCCTGAAGACATTTTTTTTTAAGTTATTGCAACACAATACCTAAAATCGCACTCTGAGAAATCCACACAGCAGCAGATAGCAGCCAATTATTGCTACTGATTCAATCCCAAGGAAGATATATTTGACTCAAAGGTACATAAGACTCAAAGTGTGTCACATGCTCAACTACAATAACAACATCACCATATAGAAATCAATTCCTATGTTGTTCCTTAGAAAAAACAATAGTATTCTCTTGAGGCCATACTCTGGGGTTACCCAGAACCCAAACTGGAAGTTAACTGGTTTATTTCACGATGAATGCATTACACAAATGAAGGAAATAAATAGTTTAGATAAGCTACATACACTTGGAGACACTGAGCAATTTCATTCTACTTTCATCCTGGGTTTACACAGCTATAGCAGTGTATAAGGCACACTGCTGTAATACAAAAATTGCTCTACTCCATTACTTTTAAATTGAGTCTGCCCATTATTCATAAGGCAAAAGTTTTTTTAAGTAAATATAATATCACTTTTTTCCTGCTTTCGGATCTACTGGAACTAAGCAGATTTATGAATATTTAGTCTAACATATAATTTAAATGCCAAGCCTGCTCAGCTATACAGATTATATCATAAGACCAAGAGCTTCCTCAGCTTCTGTTTTCTGAAAACAGCAGCAGTTTGAAGCTCTGATCCACTTATTTTAGTATCTGAAAGGCAATGGCGCTAATTCAGAGTGCAAGTCTACATACAAAAAGACTCATTACAAAAAGTATTTTTACATTATTGTGTTAAAGATATCCCACAATATTTATGTCATTTTGGAAGGGTGATGAAAAGGTTTAACTGTAACTCATGCTCTAGAACTTTCAGCTCTCCCATTTGACCCACTATACAATGCTGTCTGAAATTTTGTAGCCATCAACTTCCTCTGGACTTAAAACAGCTCTTTCATAAAGCCATCCAACTTCAAACTTGAAGTGTCAACCTTCACATCCCACAGCAAAGCTTTTTATTACTCTGGCTGTATATTACTTCAAGTCTTAATTCAGTCTAATTCTACTCCCAACTATTAGATTTAAAAGTTAGAAACTAGGGATAGAAATATAAATTATTAAAGCAATGTCTGCCTGTATCAGGGCACCTGTGTGTAAACACAGCAATTCATAAATTATTCTGAGCAAACCAAGACCTCAATGATAATATTTTTCATGGAATGAACAAAATGAACTGAAAAAAAAAAGAACTGGAATGATTTTAAACAAAACAAGGTTAAGGATGTTCGGTATCATATTTATCATTATGCCAATCCAAATTCAAATGTTCACCAGTACCACTTCATGTCATGTATATGAGAAGTTAATCAGCAATGCAAACATCAAGGGCATTGCAATTAAAAATCACTTGTACAACACATAATAAAACAGAGTGGGGAAAAAACTCTGGATCACCAGAATGGGCATATATGTGCTTGGAAGGACAACTGACTGCCCTTGTCATTCTAGTTATGACCAAAGCAACAGCACCGAGAACACTGAGGAAAATGCATTTCTTCTGCTTTTCTGGAAGAGAAGTGAGCCATAGCAGAAGTGTAACACACTTTTTAAAAAGTCTAGAGTTAGCAGCAGTAATAGAAAATTCCTAAAGAAAGAACAATTTAAAATTCTAATTTTGAAACAACTGCATCTCAGTCAGCAAACTATTTTCACCTGTTTTGAACGATGGACAACAGATCCCCTCAACACAACAACAAAGAAGGAGCTAAGTATGCCACTTCTGTTTTATCTGCAGCTGCCTCAAACAAGAAAAATTTTATTTTCACTTCTATGAATCCCTTAAATGGGGTGAAATGAAAGTGAAACAAGGTGACAACTAGAAATTATTTAGAATTTCGAACTGATGGCACAGCCTCTAGTAACTCTCTATCCAGTATGCAATTTTTCATCTGAGATTGTTTTCTAGCTCCCTGTAAGTTCCTGGTATATTTTTTTTCAACTTCTGTTCAGACAACATTTTTTTGTGTATCTATTGCAGAAAAGCATAACTCATTGCTCCTGAGTGCCACGATATTCATCTGGAATAACAGGAATTTTTCACCTTCAAACTGAGCACTGTCTGCAATTCTTGTCCTCTCACCTAAACAACAACAAGATAGAGCTGGGAAACATTCAGAGAAGGGCCATGAGGATGATCTAAGTTGGGCAATGGCTCCCATACAAGGAACAAGGAAACAAGTTGAGGATGCCTCAGTCTGGAAAAGAGGATGACCAACAGAAACATGCCAGATGTCTACAAGCCAGCGAAGTGCACCAACAGGCTGAATAGAGAGCAGTGATTCACCTTCTTTTCTAATACAAGAAGTTCTCAACTCCCAGTGAGTCAGGCTAAAAGGAACCAGCTCATTGCACATCACCTTCAGGTACACCACTCCTACCCAAAGAATGTTCTGTAAACCAACAGCTTACACAGATCCAAGAGAAGACTGACACATTTGTGGAGGACAGAACAACCAAAGACTACTAAACATGCAGAAACCACGTCCAGCTCAGAAACCACCTAAGCTGAGAACAGCTGGGACGCTGGCATATGCCGTGGGACACATTCGCATATGCTTGCTTTGCTCTTGCATTTCTCTGGATGTCTGCTAACAGTCATGTTTCTGCTGATTTCCCCAAGAAAACTAAACGCCTTCTCCCAGTCCCCACAAAGAGTATTAGGACAGAAGAGACATCAAGAAAAATGCTTGTGTGGGGGCTAAAAGTGAAACAATTACAGAATATCCTGAGCTGGAAAGGACTCCACAAGGATCATCAAGTCCAGCCTCTGGCCCTGCACAAGGCAGCCCCAAGAGTCACAGAGAGTATTGTTCCTGAGAGTATTGTTCAAATGCTTCTTGAACTGTGGCAGCCTTGGTGCTGTGGATTCCCTGGGGAGCCTGTTCCAGTGCCCAACTACCCTCTGGGTGAAGAACATTTTTCTAATATTCAGCCCAAACCGTCCCTGATACAACTTCAGGCCATTCCCTCAGGTCCTGTCACTGGTCACCACAGAGCAGAGATCAGTGCCTGCCCCTCTTCTTCCCCTCCCAAGGAAGTTGTGGACCACAGTGAGGTCTCCTCCAGGCTGAACAGACCAAGTGACCTCAGTTGCTCCTCATAAGGCTTCCCCTCGAGGCCCTTCACCACCTTCATAGTCTTCCTCTGGATGTTCTCTAATGGCTTAACGAAACGACAGAGGAGACTAAAACATACGGAAGGATGCCAAAGAAAAGGCAAACTCACGGAGGCATCCACGGAGCCTACAGATGATGCCCCGGGAGTTCTGCCCAGAGGCAACACTGGGCGAGGGAGGAGAACGATCCCCCGAGTTCCGGGGCTCCCACCGGCCCGGCCCCCTCCCGCCTGGGGCTGCGAATCTCGGGCTGTCCTGGGCTGGGCTGGGCCCCGAGGGGCCGCCGGGGCGGGCTGGGCCCGGGAGGCCGCCTGTGCCCTACAGCCCAGTGTTCCTCCCCCGTGTGCGGCCAGCCCGGCACGGCTGCGAGGAGAGGACACACCGCCGGCCTGGGCCAGCGGCCCCAGCCCGGCCCCGACCGCCCTCCGCCCGGCCCGGCTCCGCGGCCTGAGGAGCCGCCCCTCACCTTCCTCCATCGCCGGCCCGCGGCCGCCGCCCGCCGCCGGGTCCCCCCGCCGCTCTCCGCGGGGCGACGCCTCCGCCCCGCCCGCGCCGCCGCCGCCGCCCGCCTCCCGCCGGCCGCGGGGGCGGGAGCGCTCCCGCATCCCCCGGCGAGCGGAGCGGAGCGGAGCGGCCCCGCGTTTCCTCCCGCCGCCGGAACTGCGGCAGCGGAGCCGGGGCCGCGGCCGGAGCGGGGCGGCGGCGCACCGGGGCACGGCGAGCACAGGGGCGGGGCTGCCCTGAGGGGTCCGCGCTCCCCTCACACGCCCCGCCTCGCAACCTGCGAAAGCCGCATCCCTCGGGCACCGCGGCGCAGGGCTCCGCCGGCCAGCCCGGCTCCAGAGGGACCGTGCGCCTCAGAGGGGCCGCGGGGCCCCAGGTTAGCCTGGAGAAGAGGGGGCTCCGAGGAGACCTTGTCACTCTGCAACCACCTGAAAGGAGGGTGTAGCCAGACGGGGGTTTGGTCTCTTCTCCCAGGAAACGAGTGACAGGACAAGAGGACAAAGCCTCAAGCTGTACCAGAGAAGGTTCAGGTTGGACATCAGGGGGAATTTCTTCACAGAAAGGGTGATTAAACATTGGAATGGGCTGCCCAGGGAGGTGGTGGAATCACCGCGCCTGAAGGTGTTTAAGGAAAGGCTGGACGTGGTACTTAGTGCCACGGTCTAGTTGGCATGGTGGTGTTTGGTCTAAGGTTGGACTCGATGATCTCAAAGGTCTCTTCCAACCTCTTCCAGTATCTTCCAGCCTCTTCCAACCTGTCTTTTCCAAACTCTTCCAATCTTCGATTCTGTGATTCTATGAAACCAGGGCATTTCCAATGGGTGTTTCTCACTTGACACCCTGCCTGCCCCCATAAAGAGCCTCCCTGCCGTGGAAGGGAGCCCTCCCTCACTCCTTACGGACACTAATCCGGAAAGTCCCTGCCTGATGGCCAGTTACAAGGGCCTGGTGGGAGGAGTGGGTGGTTGAGCCTTAACACACACCTGCTTTGGGCTACTTTTTGCATCATGAAGAACTACTGAAGTACAGTACCAGCACCCCACTGTCACAGAGGCCGTGTGAATGCAGGACAAAAGGATATCCCCAACCCCAATGAAGGCTGCTTTGGGGAAAACAGAGTCACAGAATCGATTAGGTTCAAAAAGACCTCTGAGATCATCCAGTTCCAACCTACAACTGAACACTACCAAGCCAACTAGATTTATGGCACTAAGTGCCACGTCCAATCTTTTCTTAAACATCCTCAGGAACGGTGACTCTACCACCTCCCTGGGCAGCCCATCCCAATGTTTAATCACCCTCTCTGTGAAGAAATTCCTCCTGATGTCCAACCTAAATTTCCCCTGGTGCAGCTTAAGACTGTGTGCTCCTGTCCCTCATTTCCTGGGAGGCTGCCTCCTGCCTTGCTACATCCTCCTTTCAGGTGGTTGCAGAGAGTGATAACCTGATCCTCCTCAAGGCTAAACAATCCCAAAATGAGCTGTGTTTGGATAAAGGGAGGCCAGGGAAAGAGCATAAGGAAAAGAAAAGCATCCTTAAACAGTGGAATAGGTAGGCATTTCAGCACACCAGCTACCTAATAATTATCATGGTTGTTGTAAGCACCCTGGCAAAAGAAGGATTTGGAGAGATGGGTGAGCTGGGCATGCCTTCAGAGTGTAAAGGATAGCATGGAAAAGTGTTTTCTGTAACTTAAAGATCTGGAGAAGCCAGTATGTTCAGTGATGAATGTAAGTAGAGATAGTAACTGAGTTAAAAAGACAAAACTGGTGCTGAAGGATCTTTATAGTGGTGTGCTTTATGCTTGAAATGACATCAGGTCCAAGGAAGAGATGCAAATAAGGGGATGATGTGGCTACCGTGAGACTCATCTACACTGTCTATTGCTGGAGTCTTTGTGGGCTCTCTGAGTCAGGACCTTGTCATTTTGGGGAGTCTGTGAGGCAGTGTTTGCTTGCACCGAGCCATGAGTAGTGATGCTGTGAGAAGAGCGTATCCACCCTGAAGCAGTAGCAGCTTGGATGTTTGGTGGTGAAAGTCCTGAGTTCTGGCCACAATAAGCTGAGCTGATTATACACATGGAGCCGGGTTCATTGCAATATGGCAATCCCCAGATGCTGCAGCTGTGGCAACATAAGCTCCTCCTCAACGTGCTGCACACAGGATGTCAGACCAGGGCAAAGGCTGATGCCTTCCCTGACCACTGCCTGGGGACATGCCTCAGGAGGCCCCCCTAGAAAGGAGTCTTGCTGAAACTGATGGTGTTTGCCACCATAGGCACTCTTAGTGCTTGATTCTTGAGCTGGGATTGTCATCGTTGATGATCTCAGAGGTCCTTTCCAGCCCGGCTGATTCTATGACAGAAGTTGTCACCCTGCGGTGCCCCAAATCTGCCTGCAGATCTGTGTGGAGGGCTGAAGGCTCAGGGCTGGCAGAGTGGGCTGCTTGGAGCACACCGGGAGTTTGTGTTTTGGTGGTTGACCACAGCCCTGGGGAGGACCTCCGAGCCTTGCCCAAACCTGCTGTGCAGAGAGGAGATCGAGGCAGCTACTGCAGGACCCAGCCCAGGGGGAAGGGTGCTCCCAAGCAGCAGGTTTTCCACAGAACACCATGTTTTCTCCTTCCCAGTGTCCTGCTGCAGCTCTAGGGGATGGACTGAGCATAGGAATGGGCTTGAGCTGCAGGTCATCATTCATCAGACCACAGCTGTACTACAGACTAGCCTTCCACGTGGGATTTACCTCCACACATCATCAGATGGTCAGGGTGTATAAGGCCCCATGCATTAAAAGTTTTCTGAGAAGCTCCAGAGTCTATAGGCCCATGGTCTTGGCAGAGGTAGCCTAGCAAAAGCTGAAGGGCTGGGGCAAAATCTGATGCTTAGCCTCAATCAGCATTAGGTTTTTCTTTGGCTTAGGTCAGACCTGTAATGTTGAAGGTGGGGGATGCCTCTCTAATCACCCAGGGTGTGTGTGTGGAGATGCACCAAGGTTCACTGCCAGGGTGCAGACATCATTCCACATGTAAGTGCTCTGGACTAAATTCTTCCACCTTTGAGGGAGTCTTGCCATGAACATGAACTACCAGACTAGGATCATCATCTCTGGGAGCAGGATGGCATCAACCAAATATTGAAAGATTGCTGAAGACACCCAGCTATTTACTAACTAATAATCTAGAAATGACTGCGAGGTGGGCAGGATCTGTGCTGTCTGTGTCTCATCAGGGGGATGTGTGTGTGAGGGGAGTTTCCCAGGCACTATCTGCCAATGGCTGTGCTGCCTGGGCTCAGTTTTGTGTTGGGAGGTTGTAATCCCAGCAGCTCCCAGCAGCTGACCCTGTCCTGCTGAAGAAGTCCATTGCTGAGCAGAGCAAATGGGATTATTTAAACCTCTCAGAAGTTGCCGTTGGAGTAGCTATCGAAGAGATTTGTGGGAATTGCCTCTTGGAGACTGCATGTCTTCTGACCTGCAGTCAGACCAATGGCCGATCAACTGCTAGAAAACTGATTTGGTTTCTTGTCTGGCAGCTGCCAGGAGAAACTAAACCAATTTGTGTGTCCTGTTGGAGTGTAAAATGAGTTGGAGTCTAAAATACTTCTGCAATTTATTGGATAGTTAGAGGAGTTGGTTATGATTGTAATGATCCATAAATTGTCCATTGCATTTCTAATGTACTGGGTTTGATCAGTTTTTGGTTTGTTTGTGGTTTTTTTAATAAGTTACCAGAATAAGCACAAATAATCATTGCAATGAAAAGAACAATAATTGGTTTTAGTATTTATATTCAGAGCATTGATACATGGATAGGGATAAAACAAACAACTGCTCAGTTGTGCTCCAAATGTTCTTTTTCTTAAGCCTTCTTTGTACCTGCTGTTTCATGCTGTATCTAGTTGCATTTCTTGTACAACTTCAGTTTTCTACTGATGCTCCAGTATATGGATCATCCCACACCTTGAATTCAGTAGAATTGTAAATACAAATCAAATAATTTATATGCACAACTGTACAGTTAGCAGAGAAGTGGAAAAATCCATCCTGCTCACTTGATTTTCATTTTTTCTGAGGGGAAAAAAAATTGCACTTTTGAAGGTGGGAGAACCAAAAATCACTTTTCATGCAAGTTTCTTTCTCCTAGAATGAATATGCTGAAATGATTTTTAAGGTAATGTTGAAAATGTTATTACTGTTGCACTTCAATCTTCCAAAATGTGTAACTAATATTATATGAAAGTTATTTCATTTGACAGCTTATTATGTGCCCTAAACATTGTACTGCAATACATTGCAGTGAGTAAATACAGAGATGCTGTGGTTTTTTCCAAGCTTTCTCTGTACAAACATGCATCATGTATCTGCATGATAGCAGCATTTCTTCTCTGTTTACATATTATTTCTAAACCCTGCAGACATAAGTTTTCTATTTATTTACAAGTTCAGCATACTGATTCTTTCTAGTTTAACAATCATTCTTTCTCTCCTTTAGAGATGTCAGGAGGCAGACACAGATGTACCTTGGTATAATGCATTATTATTGGGCATGTTCATCATTACTCAAAAGTAAAAAATGCCTAGTTCTTTATTTTGTGAACAAACCAAGTTATATTTTTGAATGTTAAAGATCCCATGCCTAAAATGCTTGTAACGTTTCAATGATCAGGTAATGACTGTGGATATTTCACCCACTCTCCTAATTTCAGCATTTTGTGGGGTAGATTTACTGGCTTCTAATTTATGATTTTGGATTATCAGTATCCAAAGGTTTACTTATATTAACAATTGTAGACTCTTCCCTCCCCAAAACTGTATGTCTTCTACCAGGGTGTAAAAAAATAGTGCCTAAAGAAGTGTTTGTGGGACCAAAAATTTTGCACTGTGCTCTCCGAAATGATGTGGGGGATATTGGGGGATTAAGACAATATGGAAACATCACTTAAAACTAGACCTAAGAAGTCAGAAAATTAAATTACACAAACCATATAGAACCTTTGAGATTTTTTCCCCATCTATTTACTTCTCTTCCTACCTTATTCTAGCACAGCTTCCAGTGTTTTTGGTGGCTTCAGCTCCTGCCTGCCTTGCCTAGGGTATAAGTAAGT